GGTTCTCTTCTCATCTACCTTTGTCTATTGTGTGAGACTACTGATCATTGTGTGCGAGGATGATGCATGACATGTACACACTTGCGTGAGATGGTGCCCAAGACCCATGCAAAATTTGGTATCGGAGCAGATGCTCGCTGCACTCATAGCGTTGGCTTGATCAAGGCCGGCGAGGAGAAGTGGTGATGGAGGATTAATGAAGGAGGAAGAGAAGAAGTGTTGTATGGTGGGGGAAGCAGGCCGAAGAAGAAGTGGCGAAGTCTACTTACCTGGAGCGTGCGGAGCGTCGTGGAGCGTCATCGGCGGTATCTTCAAGAAGAGAGAAGCACCTCCTTTCCCTGAACCTGCATGTATGTGTGTGTGCCCTACCTCCTCTCTCTCTGACCCTCTGAAGGTGACTGCTGCTGGTCTGGTCTGGAGTCGAAGTCTGGATCTGGATCGTCCTAGTAAGTGAGTCTGGGTGGTCCAAAGGTGATGTGTCAGAACCTGGTCACACTAGAGTAGGTGGTCCAGTGTTCTGTGAGTAGGAGTAGACTTCTCTCCTACCCCTCTCGATAGATAGGCTGGGTGTCGCCATCAAGGACTAAAGAATCGATGTGGGAGTGGCTATATGCCACGTCAGACAGTGAGTACCAGGCAGCGTAAGAATGATATTGAGCATCGACAGGGCCTGCTGAGCCCGACAGAAAGAAACAGTTGAACGAAGTATTACTGCCTGGTTGGATAAGTAAACCATCTGAATCTGATCTTCTGCGCTGAACTCCATACCTGCATCGGACAACCCAGCAAGTTAGTATGAAGAAAATATATATATATATATATATATATATATATATATGTGACGATATATATATATATATATATATGTGACGATATATATATATATATATATATATATCAGAGGAAACAAGCCATCAGAAACACATTGCCAAAAGTTTGATCCAAGGAGCCAGACAGCATATCAAAGGAAAAGAAAAAGAGTATACAGCTTGTTCTAGTTTGATCTATTGTTTGATCTACGCAGCACCTTCTACAATCAAAAAAAAAGTACAGCACTCCATTCACCGCAGATCAGGAACTGAGTCTGTAAGTGGGATAGTACCTTGGTGATCCGGCGGAGGATCCCATGTGCCGGTAGTCATCATGGATGACTATCCCATCCAGGGCCTGTTGGCCCTTTCTGTCTTATTGGGGCCGCTGTTCCGGCTCATGTTCCCATTGGGGTTCGGACGTGTGTGCACGTCCCGCATGCTAATGCGATCTGGAGCAGTGAAGCCTGGCCCCACACCTGCGGAACAGGCAGAGATAGACCGCAAGTTGGCAAAAAAGAAGAAGGAGAAAGAGGTCAAAAAGAAACAAAAAGAAGAAGAAGCGAAGAGAAAAATGAAAGAGAAGATGGATAAGGAACTAGAAGAAGAGTTGAAGAGTATACGAGAAGAAGAAGAAGAAGAAACAGAACAGGAAGAAGAACAGGCATTGCAAAGACGTCGCCCCATCGACATACCTGAAAGTAGTCATACCGCAGTAGACAGGCTCCCGGTTGAACCGTTGGATTGGGCCGATAAGTACTACTACTCCAGCGAACCATTGAAGGAATATGAAGAAGAAAAGGATACATTCGTCGCAAAGTTGGCCACGGTAACAGACACTGTTGAACGCAACCTGCTGATGGCAGAAAGGAGGGTTGAATTGAATACCAGGTTGTTAGCTTCCAGACAGCAAGAGATAGATGAAAAGAAAAGATTGCAAGCAGAAGGGGAGAAATTGCAGAAAGCTCTAGAAGGGCAAAAAGAAAACCCCTCTGAAACCGAAGCACAACTTGCTCTCCTCAGGGAGACAGTCCTCAACACCAGACAAGATATGAACTTAATGCGTCAGACCCTACAAAGAGTTGAAACGCATCGTGTGAACTTCGAAAATGTCTGGAATAACTTCTTGGAAAAGGCAGCCAAAGGCGTTGACCAACACGTCCAAACGTATATTAAGGTCTTAGATGAACATGTCACTAAGACATTTACTCCCGAAATTAGAAGATCGTAAAAGGAGCTGGAGGTGGCGAAGACGATGGTGATGACGACAACGATGATGACAAGAAGGGGAAGAAGAAGATTGGGGATCCAAAGGAAAAACTTCCACAGGAAATTGGGCAAGTCAACAAGATAAAGCTTAAGATGTCGTGAACCTATAATGGAAAGAAAGAAGAAAGTGTGTTGCACTGGGCGGCAGCAATTGAAACTTACGTGTACGGGCAGCGCATTCCATACTGGGATAGGGTATTGATGGCAACTTCATGCATGTGAGGCGACGCCATGAGTTTTGCCATCTCGCTGCAAAAAGAGGCGGGATGCAGCTCTATGGTAGAGCATTCGCAGCAAACGCGAATTGAAGATTTTCTTAAGTTGATTAGGGAAAGATTTGAGGACAAGAACTTGGCAAGGCGCACAGAAATGTTGATCCTCAGCCTCCCCGATAGGAAATGGAAGAGCACTTCTGCATTAAAAGCAACTATGGATGAACTATTGCAATGCCTTGATCATGGATTAACGCCAGCCCAAATCTTAAACAGTTTTGCACGAGCACTCTCGGATCCCTTGAGAACACAACTCTATCCCCGCACCAAGGAAGAGGGGATGACATATGAGAAGTTCGGCAAGATCGCCATAGATCATGCCGGCTTCCTCGCCGAAGCAAACTATTGCCATTACTGGAAGGATCTGCAAGCGGGTAAGAGATGGCAAAACCGCACTATCTCAGGGTCTATACCTGGGAAAGACAGTCTCCTTCTAACCTTTGAAGAAGGAGGCGTCGAGACCATCTCCTGGGATCAGGTAGACTATGGTCTCGATGAACCCAACAGACCGGTAGCTCAGGAGGGGAGTTACGCGGCTGTTGCAGCCCGCGGGGAGGGCGTCAAGGAAGAGGGCGTGGCCGAGGAAGAGGTCGCGGTCGTGGTGGACGAGGATTCGGCACCCAGAGGGGTGGTGGTGAAGGAAGCCACTACGTGGGAGGAAGGGGAAATGGTCCCTCATACGGTGGCCGTGGTTCTTACTCCACCTGGGGTAGAGGAAGAGGCTCATGGTACAACAAGTGGGATAAGCCATACCCACCACATCCAGGCCTACCAGAAGGAGAGCCTTGGAAAGAATTGGGAATCACAGAAAAAGTCTGGGCCGAAAGGAAGAAGGCAGACCAATGTCTCAAATGTGGGGACCCCGACCACATTGTCCCCTATTGCCCTGACTAAAGGGGGGCAAAAGGGAACAACCAGTAGAGGTGCCAGCTGCCTCTACCGGAGCTTCGAATGTTGAAAAACCAGAATCCTCCCATTCGAAGGCTCCACTGGCAGAAACTGAAGAGGAAGGAAGTCCCCATCTAGTGCATTGTCCAGAGGTGGCAAACGTATGCATCTCTCTAGATGGATCCCTCGCTGGCGTGGGTGATGAGTTGGCCGCTCGTCGCCAAGCCTGGACTGAAATGCGAAAAAAGAAAGGACAGCTAATAATTGCAGATCTTGAAATAAATCGAGTCAGAGTAGGAGGTATGATAGACAGTGGTTCTACACGCAGTTACATTAGTAAGAAGGGTTTGCAGAAACTGCGTCTTGGGATTAAAGTGAAGAAGTTAAGTGAGCCTATTGTAAGTACGTTAGCGAATAGTAGTGAAACCGTCATGGACCGATACATTGAGGGGGTATAAGTATACTTTCGGCTAGAGGCAGAGGGGAAGGTGGAACGTGTTCTCCACTCTCTGACCTTTTTGGTGGAGGATAACTTGCCCTTTGGTGTGCTGCTAGGAATGGATTGGGGTGAGGCTGCACATGCGGATCTAAAGTTGAGGGAACATGAATGTTGGCTTCCAAGTCCGCAAGGAGGTTAGAAGCAAATCCGCCTCTATCATGAATCTGGAAAGGAAAGCAGCCTCGCTCACTGTTGCATGAGTGCTCCAGCGTTCGCTCGCCATGTTAAGAAGTATAACTTGTATGACCAAGTCTTTGTGGCATACGTGCGCCCAATAAAGGAAGGAAAAACTAAAAAAGAAGTCAGGTCCCAAGAGATGGAGAGGATCCTGAAAGAGTTCGCAGATGTGGCTGAAGCCCCAAGCGGTGTGGTAGAAAGACCAATCCGACACCGCATTGATATCATTCCAGGAAGCGCGCCCCCCAAGGGGCCTATCTATCGTATGTCGCCCCAGGAATTGGATGAACTGCGAACCCAACTCGATGAGTTGTTGAAAAATGGATGGATAAGGCCTAGCTCCTCGCCCTATGGTGCGCCTGTGCTCTTTGTGCCCAAGAAAGACGGCGGCGTTCGAATGTGTATAAACTATAGGAGATCAAATGATATAACCATAAAGAATGCCGAACCATTACCGCGAATAGACGATTTGCTGGATCGCGTGCAGGGTTGCAAAATCTTTTCAAAGATTGATCTGAAATCTGGCTACCATCAGATTGAGGTTGAGCCGGAAGACCAACATAAGACTGCCTTGAGGACAAGATATGGGCACTATGAGTTTATCGTTCTGCCATTTGGTCTCACGAATGCCCCTGCCACTTTCCAAAGAACAATGAACGAACTATTTCGTGAGTGGCTTGACAAGTTTGTTGTGATTTATCTAGATGATATTTTGATTTTTAGTAAAGATGAAAAGGAACACGCTGAGCACCTTCGACTTGTGCTAAATAAACTACGAGAAGCAAAACTCAAGATAAACCCAAAGAAGTGTGAATGGGCTAAGCGTCAGGTTCTATACCTAGGACATGTGATTGATGGAGATGGGGTCAAACCGGAAGATGCCAAAATAGCAGCAATCAGAGATTGGCCGAACCCCCACACCTTGACTGAGTTGCGGTCGTTCCTTGGGTTAGCCAACTACTATCGCAAGTTCGTAAGGCACTTTACGATAATAGCTGCTCCCCTTCGCCGGTTGCTTAAGAAAGAGGTAATTTGGAAGTGGGATTCAGACTGCACTGTGTCTTTCAAGCGTCTGAAAAAGTGTTTGATCAACTACCCGGTTTTGAAAGTGGCGGACCCTTCATTACCTTTCGTGGTCACAACCGACGCTAGTCAATATGGTATAGGTGTTGTACTCCAGCAAGAACGATGGGCATGGATACAGGCCTGTGGAGTTTATGTCTTGCCGATTGCCTAATGAGAAAGTGGCCGCCTCGATGTATGAAAGAGAGTTGTATGCTCTTCGTGAGACTCTCAATCATTGGCGACACTATCTCCTAGGAAGGCATTTTAAGGTATACTCCGACCATGAAACGCTTCGCTGGCTCAAAACGCAAGCTCGAATGACACCTAAACTGACAAGGTGGGCTGCATAAATTGATATGTTTGATTTTGAGCTTAAGCCAGTAAAGGGTAAGTATAACGTTGTTGCTGATGCACTAAGTCGTAGATCAGACTTTTTCGGTGCTATTGTGACTTATTTAGATGTGGGTGTTGACCTACAGGAAAAGATTAGGAATGTGTATCCCTCTGATCTTGTTTATGGAACCATGATTAAGCTAGTACAAGAAAAGCCAGCAGAGTTTCCCGATCATAAAGTAACTCACGGTCTTTTGTTTGAACGAACTGATGTAAATGATAGGTTGTGTATACCCAATAATGAAGAGATCAAAAGTATAATCTTGGGGGAATGCCATGATATAGAAGGCCATTTTGGATGGAAGAAGACCTATGGGACCTTGTTGCGTTCCTACACCTGGCCTCGAATGAAAGCAGACTGTATCGCGTATGTGCAGGGTTGTCAAGTATGCCAACGAAACAAGAGCACCACGCAATCGCCCCTTGGGCTACTTGAACCCTTGTCTATCCCTACCGGCCCTGGAGACTCTGTCTCTATAGATTTCATGGATACTAAAGTGAAAAGCAGAAATGGGAAAACGCAAGTAATGGTCATAGTAGATAGATTCACTAAATATGTTGTTTTTGTAGCTTTACCTTCGGAAGCAAAGACTGATTTGGTAATTCGGGATTTCTTTAACCATTGGGTAAAAGATTTTGGACATCCCTTAACTATTGTGAGTGACAGAGATACCCGATTCACGAGTGAGCAATGGCAGCAACTGATGAATGTACATGGCTCTAAATTGACTATGTCATCAGGTAGACATCCTAAGACTAATGGCCAGACTGAGCAGATGAACAAAATATTGCAGCAAACTTTGCGCATGTACATTCGTCCCGATCAGATTGACTGGGATGAACATCTGCCTAAAGTTGCTAGTGCCTATAATAACTCTGTACATCTATCTACGTGTAAGACTCCTATGGAGTTACATCTCGGATGGCGTCCACGCAGACCCATTGATCAAGATCAACTACATAAGCTTCCTGTAGGGACTAGTGAATTTGCAGTTCAATATCAGAAAGACATTGAGAAGGTAAAAGAAAATATACTTAAAGCACAGCATCAAATGATTGAACATGCAAATAAACACAGACGACCGTCTCAATTTGTTGTAGGACATTTGGTTTGGGTGAAATAAAAAGAGTTTGCTCCTGAAGAAAACCTCTCTCAGAAGCTTCTACCCGCCTACCGAGGACCTTGGCAAGTTTTAGATGTAATTGGAGATGTGGATGGTCCTTCGGACGTCATTGAAATTCCTCTACATTTGCGTACATATCCAGTGTTCCATGCATCCAAGCTCTTACCTTGTGTAACAAATGAGCTCTTCCCAAGTCGCCGATCAACGATACCTCCAAGTATGGATGGGAAGTATGACGTGGATAAAATTGTTGCAAAAAGTACGTACCACACTGGACGTAGGGGCAGACCACAGCGAAAGTATAAGGTGAGGTTTGCATACCAGGATCCTAGTGAAGATCGCTGGTTTACAAGAGAAGAATTGTTAGATTTTGCACCTCATATTGTGTCTGCCTACGAAAGCGCAAAGAGAGGGATTCGTATCCTTGATAGGTAAATGATTCTCAATGGACTTCGAAATTAGGCCGGCGAGAGTAAAAGGGCCTTTACCCGATGTAGGCCTCAGGTCTTGTAGAAGTAAAGCAGTATAGGCCTTGTAAAAGTAAAACAACATGAAAGAGTATCTCGCCAGGGCTCAGAAACGTGAAAGCAGGTCAAAAGTCAGGTTCTCTATCAACGGGCACATCCAAATCTAAAGCAAAGGGGCATTGTCAA